AAAACTGAGCGACAAGTTAATTACAATGTAATCGGAGATAACAAAATTAAATAATCCTATGATTACAACATTTTTATGCTGTGTCTATATCTCTGAAGTGTAAGGAGTCATTAATGTATAACAACACTTCAAACTAGAACGAAGTTTTTTTCCAGAACTAAAAAGGATGACTCCTTTCGGTACCTCCCCACAAAATGATAAAATTTTTCTGATCCTAGAGGAAGTCTGAAAATATGATCAATCGGTATATTCCTTTGGTATATTTTTATATTCCTTTCAACAATATTAACAAATTATAAATTTCATAAATTTTGAAAGGAACCTCCGATGAAATTGAAGCTTGGCGTACTCTATGTTTATCAAATTGAGCCGCCCTTATTTATAGACTCCGCCTCTACAGACGTGATAGAAACTCTGCAAACTAGCATACGAATGACAGGATAGAGAATTTTGGACACCTTTTGAACCTGAGTTGGCAGTTTCATATTTTGGATTATCATTGGTTCATCAATATTGGTCCACGATTAGGTTGCAATATATACCGACAATTTTCAATATTTTCAGGATTTCGGAGATATTTTTCAAACTGTGAGACAAAATCAATGTCATGGTCACGGGGGTGGAAAATTCCTATTGAGTATGAAATACGTTTATTTGTATCTATTTCTTGAGATCACATTTCTTCAGTAAAATTGATACGGGTTTTGTTTGTAGAACATTTCGTCCTTCTAACTCGATTCCTTGTGTGTCCTTTTCGTCCTTAATTTATTAAACCGATCTCCAATTATCATAAAATGATATTTTACAGCCTCACAATATTATAGTACGTTTACAGACTATACCGGATTTAACTGTTAACCCAGTGGCTTTTAATTGTCAATTCCATTGTATATATGTCAAATAAATCCTCATGAAGTAGGTTAACCCCGTAAAAAGTTCTAATGTAAATGCGTTTAACACAAAAATGTTTCTCATAAGATTTTAGGTGGGATTCTCAAAGACGATAAATCAAATTCTGAATGGAAATATTTTACTGAAAATATATATAGTTATGGCAAAAAAGCCAAGAATATAAATTTCGAGGAAGACGTAAATGAACCAGTTTTCTAAATTTTTGAACCGGATATTCAGATAATAAAATTGATATACCATTCACCATAGTATGGATGTCAAATGTCAAACCCTATCGCATGTTAATAAATAAATATATAATAAATGTTATGTTAATAAATGGTACATGGCAATATATTGTGATGTTATGGCACCCCTACTTTTTGGTACTTCAGGAAAATTAATATCAAATGTGGCTGACATTTAGAATGTTTTGTATTTCTACTGGGATATTTGGCATTGCAAATGGTATATATCGGTCCAGGTTTTGGTATATATCCTATTTTTAAACCAGATATTTATCAACTTCTTGAAAGGTGATAAATGTCTGGACAGACACTTTTGAATATTGGTCCACATTTTGACATAGCCCCCATATAAAGGTCCCACCCATTTTAATGGTCTTAATTGCATTTTACAATTGGAGTGCCTATAATTTGCCAAACTGCTTACTTTTTTTAAGATTTTTTAGAAATCCACTTTATATATTTCATACATATCCATCTAAAGGTTCTTAGGTAAATATAGTCACGATCTTAGGCTGTTTTTTAAACAAGTGACTTTAATTTGGCATTCGTGTTTATTAACGGGCACAATATTTTTTTCGCTCATAATAGTCATTATATTTTTATATAGCCCCAAATACAAAATTTCAGTCTCTTTTTGGGAATAGTGATGGATTTCAACACATTTTTTTTAAATAAAGAGTCTGCAATATGGTACTTTGGGTTTTTGCTGAATAAAAGCAGGACATTATTAATAGTGCTCCATTTGTGATATAGCTCCCTATATATCTGCCCATATCCGCCCCATTTTCGGTATGTTAAATGCCCTTATTTTCCAACCTGAGTGCTTGTAATTTGGGGTTTCGGTTTTCCAGATAAAATATGTCCTGGCTGACAGTGTAAAATGACATCCTGAAAGGTCGCGACCGATTTTAAATATTTTTAATGACAAAAAATGTCGTAAAAAAGTCCTAAAATGTTTTTAATTAATTTTCGACAAACTTATATATAGTGATGTAATGCACTGTTTGCAAACAGGGGAGTGTAGCCAAACTATTTTTTATGACCGACAGATTAAATAAAATATTTTGAGAATTGCGTATTAAGCCTCACGCACCTGGTCTGCGTGTTTTGTATAAGGTGTGTTTATTTGCCCATATAGAAAACAATTTTAAAATATTCTTTAGCCATAATAATATTAATAAAAGGATGCATTAGTTTCGTGATTGAAAGTAATATTACTAAATTGGGCCGTACATCGAAATAGAGACGTTCAAAAAAAAAACAGATAATGAAGGCAACATTCTAATTTAATTTGTAATTCTCATGCATGATGAACCATCTCAATAACAAAATAGAACCACAAATTATATTACATTATTCGTTGGAATTTTACAAGCTAGAAACGATTTCACTGATGATCTAATTGAAATATTTATTCCCTTTGTTGCTTATTGTAAAGATATATTATCAGATAGCAATTTAAAGTGGATTTTTATTTTAATTTGTATTACAAGCCTGTGGTCGTTGTTTGGTTTCCTTAATATTCCATTTTAATTGCCACCATACAATGCGGAATTTAGCACTTAAATTTGTTAACGATTAGTGATTTTTGTTTTGTTTTTATGGATTCATCATAAAAATGCCAATTCCTGAATTCTACAGTTCAACAATATTCGCACTTCTTGGGTCTCGAATCGAATGAAGCAATTAAATTAATTCTCACGTACTGAAGGCGGCAGTTCGTCTCGTTTTGGGTTGATGAAGGAGGAGGCCTGTTTAACGAATGAACGAACATATGCACATAATTATTATATTTAAATGTCATTTGAACATAGGAAAGCCAATAAATTTAGAGCAAAACGTATTACGCATAATTGATAGGGTCGGTAATCACACACGCCATGTGCAATTGGGAATTGTTAATTTAAAAAAAAGGTAAAAATATAGTCATTTTGTTTGAAAAGTGTGCCTAGAACCATCAAAATACATACAATTATGATGGGCCTGAAAACTGATATTTTTCTGATTTTTTCCAATAAATATTCACTCTCCAAGAACTCAGCATGCCTTATTGCATTCACTTCGGTTGTAAAAAAAAACTATTAAAACTTTTAAAAATTGAGATTAGTTTCTGCAAAAAAAACATTGCGTTGGGATTTTGATATCGGAGGCTATTTCGAACCATGCAAATATATGTTTCACCATCCATGAACCGACATAAATCTTCAAAATAAGGAAAATGGGAAAAAATCTATATTTGGGAGCTATATCAAAACGTAGGCATGTATTCAAAGAACACGGAATGTCAAAAAACAGAAATTTGGAAGATATTTATAGACTACTCAAGTAACAAATATGTAAGGTGATATCCATGGTATAATAATAAAAGGTAACAGCAAGTGTTGTTGTACAACAAACGATACAACAACCACATGGAAATTTGTTGTTGTAAGTTCTACTAGTGTCAACTCTTTTGACAGAAAAATGTAAACAAACAAACAAATTATCATCAAATTATTTTTATTTTGAAAATGAAATATTTTTGAATCCACAAAATAAATATTGAAAAACATGAATTAAAATATATCAAATTTATATTTCTATCGCTTCCACATCTTTACTATAATTGAGCCATTGCCATATATAGGTGTAACACATATGCAAATGCTGGGAATAGCGAGTTGTTCCTTGAAGAAAGATTTGCTTCCTCAAACAATCCCAGCAGGCAGATTGAGTAAATTGAATACGGGAGAACATTTAATAAAGAACAATTTCGAATTGAATAAGTTCCCAATTTTCCTGTTGGGTGATTTTTAAAAACATAATTTGTCAAATGCATATTGACACTAGTATTACGTTGGAATTAAATCAGCTGGGATTTGCTGTTACCTTTTATAATTGTACCATGGGTGATATCAAAACATGGACCTATATTAAAATTTTCGATCAAGATGTTTTTATCCACCAATAAAATGTAAAATTATAGAAATTTTGGTCGCTTAGAGCTATCAAAATACCAAAAATGAGCGGGATCTTTAAATCAGAGCTATGTCAAAACTAGGTCCATGTTTCTGCAGAGGTTTTTTTTTACCATCCACGTCACTTCGATTAGAAAAGTGCAGTTCATCCCTAACATTTTGAGCGTAGTAGCAATGTACTTTCCCAATTTCAATGCTATAGCATAAATATTTGGATCTCTAAATACACGGACGGACATGTCTAAATTGGCCTGGTCTCCAAAGAACATGTCAAATCTAACTATTTTGTCTAGGCAAATGATGTTGATCGACAGAGGCAAATTGTGCCGAAGGTATCACTAATATTGTACGGAGTGGACCGATGTTCCTCATCATCGTACTTGAACTAAGTTTGGTAGAAATATTTGGATGAAACCGGTTAATTCCTTCGAGAGTTATTGTGTGCACCAGCCGGTCAGACAGACGAACGGACATTTGTAAATCGACTCCAAATTGTCTGAAACGGATTTAGTCCAAAGAAATATGGGGTCTAAAACCAATATTTCGATGAAGCACATTTTTACAGCATCAAAGTGTAGCCATAAGGCTGAAGGTATAAAAACCATCGTGATGATTTGCACTCTATTTTTCACGTTGCTGGTATACACACGATGTACAAGGACTCTTACACACATACAACATCACTGAGAATACTGACCAACATAAGTTACAATTTATGTACTTTGCTTAGCGTGACCTTCAAAAACTTGTTCCTGTATTCCCAATACACACACACTGTATACATGAATGAAACATAAATAAAAAGAACAACAATAACACAACAAAAACCACAACAACAGGCCATCATGCACTTGAACTATATTTCACTGTCACTTTGACATAAAATTATTTTCTTTAAACTTACATTAATTTTATCAAAGACGAAGACAGGTTGTTTTATTAAATTAAATTTTCGATTAATGAATTGGCCAACAAACAACAGGAATACACCAACAAAAACACACAAATTATTTTATATCAAAAAATAATTTAATTTGTTCTTAATTCACTTATTTTTATAAACTACACAACTTTGTCACATTACACACACAAATGAAATATTAAAAAAAAATAATTTTCTTTGAAATTTTGGATAATTAAAAACGTATATTCTTAGAAATGCCAATATTCTTTTATTTATGTAACAATCGTCGTTGATTTTGATTTGTTAACGCGTTCGCACTATGCCGCTACACTACACAGACTAACTAACTGACGACGGAAACCGTTGCGGTATGACTGAACTTGATTCTTGAACAAAAACACAGTTAAACTTGGACTTGGCCCATTGGCCGTATGTACGTACTACGTTCGATGCTTGTTCAATGTTTACAGTCAGAGTCTAGGGGGTGCGTATGTGTGTACGTTTGTGTTCGTTTGAGTATGTTAATAACAGTCAGCCAGCCAGCCAGACACTTCTTCTTCGACGACCATACATAATAATATGGTTCGCTAGCTGTTAGTTGTTTTGGTTGTCTGTGAGGAGGAGGGCACACTAATGGCCAACATCATTACTATCATCGTCATGATTAGCATGCGAAAGAACAAGAGAACGGAAGCAAACGGATGGCAAAGCTCAAAAACCCCCAAAAATGTTTACTCTCACGAAAGTTATTTTGTTGTTTGTGTGTGTTTTCATAGAAGCTTTTTTGGCGCCAAAATATACAGTTCCTACAAAAGCGTTAATGCCAGTGTTGTCTATGTTTTGGTATATTTTACAAAACTATATGAGAATGGTTTCTAGCGGAAAATAATTGAAAGACGTCATTAATGCATTCCAAATGGAATTATAAAAACCCGACCTCATCATTATATGTATTATAACTACATCCGATGGGCATTTATAAAGATTTTTATGCAGTTCAAAACCAGTAAATTCGGACTGGGCCGACTATATGATACCCTTTACCACTTTGGATATATTGTACATATGGATCCTTACAATTGCATGCCAATGATAACTCGAAGGAAAATACTGATGTCTTTTCGTAACCTATGATAAATTCAATTTCATTCGGGCAGATGGGACAAATATATATATATATATATATATGTATATATATACTAGTGGGCCCGGCAAACGTTGTCTTGCCTAGCAATATTGTTGATGTATAATTTTCGGCATTTTAATTTTTTTATAACCTACACCATAAATCGAATTGTAAAGTTTCGCTATAAATAATTTTATTAATATTTGAATTCGTGTAAAAAATTAAATTTAATAAATTAAAATGCATTTGTGTGTTTGACTTTCGGATGTAATTACATTTTTCCAATATATTTATAAGACTTCCACATAATGGTAGCCCAATATTAAGTTAGCTTTTTATATCCTCCTCTATTTAAGAATTTGCATACATTACTACTCCAAGGATATTTGGTATTGCAAATATTAAATATTCGTTCACTTTTTGGGGTAGCCCCCATATAACGGTACCTCGTAATATGAGGAATTTTGACGATTTTTTCGACAGAATTGGTTGTAATTTTATACTTTGGATTCTCCTTGAGCAGAAAGTGTCCATACAGATAATTATTAATATTGGCCCATGTTTCGGGGTACCACCCATATAATGGTAGCCCTCAATATTCGGAATTTGGAGATCTTGATCACGGCCTTCAACAGAATTGTTTCTAATTTAATTAATATAAGGGATACTTATTGAGCAGAAAATATCTCTACTTAAAATTTTCAATAAACAGGTCTGAATCCTTGTTCGGTATTAAAGGACTCCGAGAGGTCTTTTCCAACTTTAACTGCTGATCGTGTGTCAGTTAAAGTTATCCTGCATAGCCGAATTAATTTTGAAGGAATGCCAAACGCAGACATGGCTTTAAACACCTCTGAACAGATATTTTCATTGGCTTTTTTCAGGATTTGACGCAGAGTGAAAATCTGGTTAGTGGTGGATTTGGACCACTGGATTCAATCGTTCACACAGCACGCTGGATAGCACTTTATATGCGATGGGAATGAGACTTATTCCTCCATAGTTGGCACATATCGTCTTGTCTCCTTTTTTGTGCACGGGATACAGGATGCTGAGGTCCCTATCATTGGGCAAGTTTCCGGGTAGTACCCATATAATTGTATACCCCATAATTACTCATGTGGTGTCAAATCTTTCTACAAAAAAACTAATACATCTCCATTCCATTGTAGTAGACACATTTTTATGTTCAAGTTTTGATATAGCTTTTACATACAGGTCCCGCCTCATTTTAGATATTTAAATTAAGATAAAATTTTCTCATAAGGGATTCCTGTGGATAAATAATATCATCCCAGAAATAATGCACTATGGCTTAACGTTTTAAAAAGACGCCATAAATATTTCCCATTCAATTTTCGGTATGTTAAAGTTCTTACCCCCGTTTTCAACCTGAGTGTTATCGGTAGTTGACATATTGAGGTATTTTTATTTTTATAGTCACATGTTCAACACGAATGGGTAACATCATGAGACTTATTGTTATAATAAAATATAGCAGATTACATCAATATTTGCATTATATTAATGACATACACACATCTAAAAATTAATTTAAAAATATCTACATAATCTAAACACCATGATGAATCAAATGATATCATAATCACACAAGTCCGTGTAGCGGTTTGTAAATCACAGCGACAACAAAACAAGATATTGAGGAAAAATATTTGTATTTGGTCCGAAAAAATAATGTCATCATATTTATTTTTTTAATTTTATACAAGAAATTTCAGAAAAAAATGTTTGGGTTATTCTGCTATTATACCCGAATTTCGCCGATAAATTGACATATATAATAATAATCACTTTTTGTGTACAAGTATACGCCTTGCGGATTATATCAAGACCCTTCCGATAAATCTTAGTATTCTATAAATAGGAATAAATCTTAAAATAAAATAATATTATGAAATATACATTTTAAATTGCGTGTAAATCGCGTAATTCTCGAAAATCATTTGATGCGCATGCGGTTTCCAGGAAGTACTGAAGTTTATCTTCCAATCCATATATATATTTTGCGAAATTTCATTTGACGGCTATGAGTGCCACACGTTACATTGAAGTACCCAAAAAATCGTAAAACGCGAATAATTTCCGAAAACTCCATATGCCATTAACGCGCATCCGATTTCGGTGTGCACCCTAAAAAAATACATAGATCTATACCGATTTTAATGTGGTCCATTAAGAACCATGGATGTGCCAGCTCACACTATTTTTGAGATAAATTGCGTACATCTCTCTTTCGGCTGAAGTTTTTAAAGTTCTCTTTTCGAAAAAGATCAAAATCCGTATGAGGTCATTTATTGAAGCGGAAATGATACACAGAAAACGCAAGTAAATCCGCGATATTTTCAAAAACATTTTTTGCCAAATTTCGTGTTTTTGGAAGGCCAGTTCCCGCCGTTCTAGTAGATGGATTTTCACGAAGAAGATTTTATATCATCCGAAACGTAAAAAACCTTATTGATCGCGGGTACCCATATCATTCAGTTGAAAAATTTAAAAATTTAGCCAGAAAAATAGGTTTTTTAGAAATTTGATCGCACAAAATTCTCAACTTCGGATGAGTATTACTCTGAAGCTGTGCATACTACATACACAAAATACATATCAAATTACGCAGATTCGCGACTACAATAATCTTATAATCGATTTTTATAAATTCCTGTTTGCGTATTAAAGCTAGAAGTAAAAATAACAAAAACACTCAAATTCGAGCTTCAAAATGTCAGCATCATTTAAAGGTAGATGCAGTTCAAATGTTGAAAAATGATACATAAGGGGCGTAGTACCCATTTTGTTGGCTTCTAGTTTTATTTTGACACGAAGACCGTGCAATGAGTGGATTAGTCAGAAATCGATAGAGAACATAAAAAACTGGTTCGCCTCAACCTGTTTTTACACATTTTTTTACATTAAAATAGACACAGCTTCCACCAAAATAAAGTTTGGAGGTCAATATCATGAACAGTTTGCAACGACAGATCAATTAACCCAAAACTATTCACTTTTTTTTCATATACTTAAGTAGTTCCCGAGTTATAAAGGGGTGAACCTCCGCTTCAGCTATGTTAAAAAATTGGCAATATTGCCCATATACATGTGGGAGTTATATGGAAATCTGAATCGATTTTTCCGAAACTTACCACACATCATTCTAGACTTAATTCAATACGCTAAATTTTGTGCAAATCGAAAGTTATATAGGGACTTTGGTGCACCATTTACATTTCTTAACAATCTTAACACTCATCGTTCTAGACTTAATTCAATACAGAACAGAACAGATTTTTACGAAACTTAAAACACATCACTCTAGACTGAATTTAGTACGATATGCCAAATTTCGTGTAATTCGAAAGATATATAGGTACTTTGGTGGACCATTTACCTTAAATCGGACGAAATTATATATGGGAGCTATATCTAAATCTAAACCTATTTTCTGAACCTATTCCAATTTCCATAGGGTTCGTCCTTGAGCCAAATAAGTGAATTATGCCAAATTTCATCCAAATCGGATCATAAATGCGACCTGTACTTTGTTCACAAAAATACATGGACGGACAGACGGGCATCCATAAATCGGCTCAGAAAGTGATTCTTTGCATATTCTCAAAAGGAACTATGGGTCTATCTCGATTCCTTTTGCCTGTTACAAACATATGCACAAAGTCATAATGCGGTACCACAGTGTGGTGAAGGGTACGTTGAGATTGTGACGAATCACAACATCTATCGCACATTTGTGCTTAAATACTCATTGTATTTGTATGCTCCAGGAAAAAACGCATTTTAAGGTTTGCGTCACAACTGCTTAAATCTTAAGAGTCGTAGAACACATATAAAAGCATAATGAGAATACATAATATTATACCATCACCATACA